TAATAATTTTATTATAAATTTCCTTAAAATTTGATGTTGGATTATATGAATTTGTCTATAAGATAGAAAAGATTATTCCACTGTTTGTGTGACAGATGAAGAATTACTTGCTTCGACACCTTAGCCAAAGTTGAAAAGTCCTTTTACTGATTTCTATGCATAATAATAGTAATGTTAAGCATTATAATTTTTTTTTAGGGTTAGATAGGTCATTCTCTTCATGTGTGATAACATTGTAATTTACATATTAATCAGGATTTTATGATAATTTGCTGCTTAGATGTCCCACAGAGAGCTCTCTAATAAACTTCATAGTATTTTAATAGTCATGAGCATATTTGTTATTCACTAATTAACATGGAATTTATATAAAGCCATAAGACATTTTCTCAGGTCAGGGGTGGTGATGCCTGCCTTTTAATCCCAGCACTCAGGAGACAGAGACAAGAGGATTTCTGAGTTAGATGCCAGCCTGAGCTGTATAGTGAGTTCCATACCATCCAGGATGAATAGACATTTGAAACATTGTCCCCCACCCCAAAAAAGGACATTTTGAGATTTTTAAGAACTGTATATAAAGAGAATTCAAGTAGACAGTAATACATATTTAAATAAGACGTTTTATTTACATGTTACGATAATGTTTAATAGATGTATACTTCGTACTATTACTGAGCTGCCAAAGACTCTTGTTTGTACTTTGCATTACTGATATTGACTTTTAATCAGTTTAAGATTCTGATGCTAGTTTGATGTTGATTCTAACACAGTTCTGTCAGTTTCCTGTGACAAGTTACAGGTTTGAAATGGCAGCATGCTGCATCTTGAGAATTGTAATTATACAGAATGAAACTCTTTAAGTTTTTATGAAAAGAAAATTTAATCAAAGCATGTTAGCGATTATTTTAGAACCACTCAGCTCATTCTCCAAATATGTACTTTTTTATGATTTAAAACTATTCTAATTTTCTCCAGTAGATGTCAGTGTTTTTCGTTGAGGAGTAAAAATGTACTGATTCTTATAATAATTTGATTCTTATAGTTAAATATTCTTATGGTAAATATTTGATTGCATTCTTTTGCTTTGTTCTTTTAGTTTTTAGGTATGGCACATGCTTTCATTAAGTGAAATACAATTTAATGGCTATTCTGATTTTTAAGAATTACAGATTACAAAATACAGCAACAAATATAAATACTAAGTGTGAGTGGTAACCTAGAAAATGACTATTAGTTAATGGTTAGCACTTGTTTTGCAAGCAGAGAAAATAAGTTACCTCCATAAGAGTCACTAAACTTTCTGTAAAATGAATCAAAAAATTGAAACAAATTGAGTTTCACAGAAAGAAAAACTTGTGCAAATTAAATTTACAGAATTTATTTGAGCAAAGTGGTCCAGGAGTGGTACCATCCTCTGAATAGTTAAGTTCAGGGAACTCCACCCTGCCACTTGCACAGGCAGTATTTATAGACAGAAAATAGAAATGAGGTCCAGAAATGGCTTATGATTGTATCTTTGAGCTTGCCTTATTTGAACATGGTATGATCAGTTGGCAGCCTGTGATTGAATGATACTCAGCTTTTTGTTGCAAAATATACTCATAAATTAGGCTTTACATGTTTATGTGTTAAGTTTGGTTGTAGTTTGTTAATTTAGGAGTCAATGTAAGAAAGCAGCTTCAGGCCAAATTGAACAGTTTAGAAATGTAACTGCCTTCCTCAGTCTATTAGAGAGCAAGGGCTCCCACAAGCCGAGCAGACCTTGGCAATGTAGGTAGAAAGGGCTGCAGAAAGTAGAAATTGAGTAAGAAGTGGATTGGTCCTTTAGAATTACTTTCCTTACTGGGTTAGAACAGGAAGGGCTTTCTTAGCAAGCGGGGTCAGGTAAACTAGACTTCTTCTAATTGGTTGCTCTCGGTCTTCAGGCCTTTTCTAGAAAACTGTCCTGTTTTAGAGTCAGTTTCATTACTGATTATGTAGCAATAGCATGAGTAATTTCATTCCAGCTTGGTCTAGTCCACTTGCTGGTGCCTCCCATAATTTTAGCTAAGTTCAGGTATAGTCATCTTCTTTATCCACAGGGAATAAAAGCCAACACCCTCAGTGGAGGTCTGAAACCATTACTTTGATTACAGTAAACATGTACCTGCAATAGAGCTTAGTTTATGTCAGCAGGCACAGTAAAAGATTAACAATAATGACCAATTCTAGGGAATAATAAGTGAATGTGGTCTCTTTCTAAATATATCTTTGTCCTTTGGACTTTTTGCTTGAAGGAAGTTTCTCTTTGACATGTGCTGATAGCTTGCATTGCTGTCTTTGCACACTGGGCACAATATTATATAAAGTAATGGTTGCTCTGCATAGTTACTGGGCTACCTCCACAGATGATCTGATGATCAAGACAGTTACTAAGTGACTAACAGGGAGGTAGCATGCAGTGTGGCTTTGCTGGATAAAAGGATGACTCACATCCCTGACAGACTGGCCAGATGCTGTGAGGTTTTTAATCACAATACTCAAAATGGCATGCCATTCAAAACTTAGGAACTCTTTCATTACTTCTAGAATTTTCCAAATTAATAGTCTGTAGGGTAGCTGAACATAGATAACTGAAACCATAGATGGTGAATCCTCACATGGAGGATTTCTGTATTGCAGGCATTATGGGCCATTCATTTCCACTATCAGCTTTACCTTAGATTGTTAAAGCAGCCACACACATGTAAATGAATGGATGGGCTGTGTCTGCAAAATGGCTTATCCAAATAGGCAGTAAGCTGCATTGACCCTAGGACTAGTTTGCTAGCCTCTGGTCTAGAATATATCCTACATTCCCAAGTCCTGGACTTTAGAGTCAGTCTCAGCTGAATGCCAGAAGTGCTTTGTGTCTTTTCATTCTTGATGGGCCTGACATCCATGTTTCCCCAGCCCTTTGTAACCCTGGCTATCACCATTCAATTCTCAGCCTCACAACTGGGTATTTGCTAGGCCTATGAGAATCTTGCCTCTTGCTTACACAGCTCATCCGTTTGCTAAGGAACCAGGGTGAATTGCTGTATCACCTATTAAGAAGCCTCTCCTCTGTGCATCACCCTCTTTTGCACTACTCTGTCATACAAATTCCAGGTGTTTCGGGGCTGGAGAGATGGCTCAGCGGTTAAGAACACTGGTTGTTCTTGCAGGAGACCCAGGTTCAAATCCCCGCACCCACATGGCAGCTAACAACTGTCCGTAACTCCAGTCCCAGGGGATCCGACAGCCTCTTCTGACCTCCGTGGGCATTGCACAACATGGGTGCACTTACCTACATGCAGGCAATACATGCATACACATAAAATAAAAATAATAAATAATAAATTTTTTAAAATTCCAGGTGTTTCAACAGTCCAGAACTCTTGCTTTCTGCCTCCTAAACTCAGTGGCACTGTCACTTTGCTTGGGTTCTACTTCTTGGCTCTTTGAATAAGAAAATGTCTCCAGAAAGCTAGAGCATTTACTCCCATTTTCTTAAAGACTGTGGTGTTGTCTGACTTTTTCAAATATAAAAATGGTTGCCTTGTATATTTTGATCAGTTTTGAAATTTTCAACAGGATATAAGATTGTACTTGTTGGTCTGTTACAGCTAAAACCAGAACTGGGACCTTGGTTTTTAAACATTCCTTGTCCTTTTTTGTTAGCGTTGTAGCCTAGATTTAATATTTGCTATCCTCTCTTCACTACTTAGAGTTCTGATAGGCAGATATGTCATAGAAATAAGGATAGTAAGACCAAAATCTTGATCTGTACATATAGTATTTAGCAATTATGCAAACATCTACAAAAGATACAGGAGGGCTCATGGGATACTCAGCCATTAAAGGCTAAGGCCAACAACCAAAAACCCAAGACTTTGGTTCGTTGCCCCCACAACTGAGGGCCATCTCATCAGCTTCCCTTTAGGGACTGGAGAGATGGCTCAGCAGTTAAGAGCACTAGCTGCTCTTGCAGAAGACCTAGGTTCAAATCCCAGCACCCACATGGTGGCTAACAACTATCCATAACTCCAGTTCCAGGGGATCCAACGCTCTCTTCTGTTCTCCACAGGCACTGCATGACATAGGTGTACTTATATGCATGCAGGCAAAACACTCATACACATAAACTCAAATAAATTTTAAAAAATCTTAAAAGATGCAGGGGTATTTATTGAAAGGTAAGTATCCAAATTATTTCTGCCCCACCTAGCTATGTACTCAGTTCTTTTTTTTTTTTTTTTTTTTTTCCTAAAATGCTGAGCCATGAATCCCAGGGACTTGAGCATACTAGGCAGGTATTCTGCCACTGAGCTACGTCCCATTCCAATGACTTGTATGTACCTTTTCAGATATATTTTGTGACTATGTGAGTGGCTAGATATATTTGAAAGGCATGCAAGTGTATGTTTCACAAATTTTATTCAAAATAATAGATGTTTAGATCTTATTATATTTTATTATTATTTTCTTACCTGTTCCTGGTCTCCATGATACACAAAAGCAACTATAGTTTGAAACTTAGGGCAAAGTTAGGAGTTAATAATACAGAACTGATTTAGGTGTACTTCGTAAGTAAAAAGTAATGTAGAAGAAAAGTACAGAATTTAGATGTCTTTGTAAAGAAATTAAACTTGCATTAACTGTTAATCTTCAGAAGTGGTAAAAATCTGATTTTACTGTCTTTGTCATTTTTATTTTTTATTAATCTTACTGGGTTCACTCTGAAGCACAAGCTAGTCATTTAAATTTTTATTTACAAAAACATTAAACAGTCTGCAGTGATGCTGTGTTGAGCCTATCATGTGTTCCTTTTTCTCTGCAGTTCATTAATGGTGCTAAGGAAATATGCTATGCTCTTCGGGCCGAAGGATATTGGGCTGACTTTATTGACCCATCATCTGGCTTGGCAGTGAGTAATTAAATACATTTTGAAAGTCAGTTTATATGAAGCAGAGATGATTCTTACTAATAAAACTATTGATAACTACCCTATTGGTAAAACTACATCAGTTAAGATGATATTTAAATCTCATAGTTCTACCCAAAGAAGGAGAACTGCTGAGGTACTTGACTTTACACCTTCTGAGGGAGCTGACACTGAGTGCTTCATTTCCCTCGGCATACTTTTGTTAAAAGTAATGAAACAGATATGCATGTTTACTGTGCATGAGCTGAAAATTAGAAATGAATATGATCTAGTCTCGTTTCTTAAAGGAGCAAAGTATTTTGGAGTGAAGAAAATACAAAATGTAAAAAACAGAGAAGTAACTTTTTAGAAACTTTTATAAGGTTATGCATAATTCAGATATAAGTAGTAATCAAATCAGTTTTTGATTTAAAGATAAACATACATACTACTGTCAAGTGCAGCGCACAGTAAAGAAAACTTTACTGAGAAAACTTTTGCTCTGGGCTCTAGTTCCCTTGAAAATGATAGAGGTAAATCATAGATGATTCTGTTAAGTTTTATTCATTTTTAAAGTTTATATAATAGCACACATCCAGATAGAGGTGAATCATAGATGATTCTGTTAAGTTTTATTCATTTTTAAAGTTTATATAATAGCACACATCCAGTTCTAGGTATTGTAAAATTTACTAGGTTATTCATTTCATATTTCCAGTGTGTACAAGTATTGGGGAGAATATGTTAAAAACAAGTATTGCATGTGGCCTTTTATTTAGAGAGTAGAACAGATACAGTTCAGTCACATTTATATAAAAATACTACTTCAATCTCTTTCTTCCTAGTGAAAATATTACTTTGTTTCTTGTTTCCTCTAGTTTTTTGGACCATATACAAACAACACGCTTTTTGAAACAGATGAGCGCTACCGGCATTTAGGGTTCTCTGTTGATGATCTTGGCTGCTGTAAAGTGATCCGTCACAGCCTCTGGGGTACTCATGTCGTTGTGGGAAGTATCTTCACTAATGCAGCTCCGGACAGCCACATCATGAAGAAGCTGAGTGGAAACTAGTTTCTAGTGGTGACATTTTATTTGCAGTACTGTGTTTATCATAGATTGATCTATATAAACTGTCAAAGACCTCAGCTTTTACAGTATACTAATTTCTGGGTATTTATTTCACCATTTATGGATTTACAACATTGACAAGTGACTTGGGATTTAAAATTGCAAATGTTAATTCATATTCTTGAGTACATGTTGAATATATCCACATTCTACAGAGTGTGATCATTAGCATGTAACCAGGGTATGTATAACCTCTTACTGTTAATTCTCTCCCCTTTATTAGAAAAACCTTAGTTTTAATTATTTTTTTGGAAAAATAAATCAGACATTTGGCTATGATAACTTGTGTCTTTATTGACATATTTCAAATATAGTTCTTAAATATGTTAAAGCTACAGAGTTAAGTTTTTTGAATAATCCTTGATAATTCTAGGTTCACTGTAGACTTTTCCAAAAATCTTTTTCTTAACTGTTAAGCTAACTGACACTAGTTTGAAAGTTACTTTGCAACAATGTGTCAGCAGGAAAAATAAATAAATAAAAGTAGTACATCTTTTTATATAAAAGTATATTAATCTCATTCTTACACTGAAAAAAATTCTTAGCCCTTTAATGAGACAGTTAAATTTTTTTTAATGAGATTGTATCTCAGCTACCAAATCCCATTTCTCTAACTCCATTAATTTACAAAGGTGCCTCATTTCTCTTTTAATTTACAGAGCTTATTTTTATACCGTTACAAACTTTAAAAGAACTGTCTTTCATTGGTGAGGCTTCTCCCAATAACTGACATATCGCAGGAAAAAAGAAACTTCCGTCAGATGAGTTAAATGAAATGAAACTTTTTTAAATTGTTACTTATTATTATTGAGTGTATGAGTGCTATGACATACATGTGGAGGTCTGAGGAGAATTTTATGAAGTTGATTCTCTCCTTCCACCTTTGTGTAGGTCCTGGGGATTGAATTTAGGTCATCAGGCTTTTACAGCAAGTAGTTTACACGCTGAGTCATCTCATTATCCCAAAATGAACCTTTTTTAAATGAAATGCCTATGTTTAAAACAGAATTTTTTCTAGAATGCTATACTTTCTTATTCTCCCTTTATACATTAAGAAACCAACTATTTTAATCACATCTTGATTTGTAACTTGGCTTATTTTTTGTATAGGTCAACATTTCATTGCTTATGGTTCAAATAAAGGCTAGAAAAGTTTTACTGTGAAAAAGATGAAGTAGTGATTCCCATAGGTTTTTGAAAAAAATTATGCACACCCATATATGTTTAAAAACACATGCTATAATGCTTGATAAGCTTTCTTCTGTGTAAGCAGCACCGTACACAAATTTGGATACCCTCAGGGCTTATGCCCCCTCCATTCCCAGCATTTTTGCCACTCAAGGAAACTACTATCTTATTTCCTCTAGCAAAAATTTATTTTGTTTTTTATGTATAATATGTATGAAGCCATATGACATGTCTACTTTTGTCTGGCTTTATTTGGGCATATCCTACTTTGAGTCATGTTCCCTTGAAGATTCAATATTAGCTACAGCAATTATGAAATGCCATTTTTGGTTGGAAATGGTACTCACCCCCATAAGCAGCCATAACTTGTACTTAATATATGGAATCTGGTAGTAATGAGTATTGACTTCTATTGTCATTTTGCTTTCTAAAGGGAGCAAATACCAGTGAAAATTTTTGTTTTTGAGGTGTTGTGGGCAAGATTCAGGTTTGGGAACTAAAACCCAGGAGACTTACTAATGATAGTAGAAGGGGGTGGTCGCTTATTAGGAGCTGTGTCAGGAGAATGCCTTTGTTGTCCATTTCATGAGGTTCACTTACACAAGACCCTGTGAACAATTAAACTTGTAAAGTTATCCATCTAAACATGACACAGCTATGATTAAGACCTGGCACTGGAGCTTTTCTGTGTGGTTTCTAGTATGTATGTACAGACATTGCTTATCTGTTACTCTTCATGGTTATCAAGATGGCTACTAAAAGTTTGAAATTATCTAAGAGGTACGGAATTTAACTTGAAAGAACTCTAGAGCTAACCAGTGCTAACTGCTCCATTTTATAGGTAAAGACACAGGAATTTGTTCCATTGAACTGTACATGCTCTGAATTGCTTTTTAAATTTACTGAAATATATAGCTAAAAATGTAATATCTGAAACTTCAATTGTAGAATCCTATACCTCAAACAGAAATTCTCTGGCTTCAGGTTTCAAATCTTTGTGTTTTGTTGGACTTCATCACTTGTAATGCCAACTGAATTCTTTTCAGCTAAACAAAATTCTGCTTTTTTCCTCTTAGAACTGGTGTTCTTGTTGCTCCACAGCAGAGCCTAGCCACCTGTTTCTGTACTATTTATGTTGGAACCTGATAGCTCTTTATTATGGGACCTGTTCAACGCTGTGGTACAGTTAGCATCATCCCCTGGCCCCTGCCTTGTAGAAAGCAGTAGCAAACCACTGATGATAACAAAGATGTTTTCAGACATAGCCAAATTCTGTCAAGGGACAAAGTATTTTCTTTATTGAAGTCAAATTGTGATGAGTGTAATATATTTTACCTAACTGCCTTACCTGCTGTTGAGAACCACTGGTCCTCAATTTCAGCTATGTATTTGAATATCTGAGAGAGTGTTGTATGGCAGTTTCCTAAAAATGGAAACACTCCCTCCAGGAGGGAGAGAGAGGCTCATAAAGCCTCAGGAGGTAAATAAAAGGTCCCATGTCTGAGAGAACAGAAACCTGGAAGATCTCCAGCTCCCCCTCTCTACTCCCACTTCCCCCCAGCAGTGTAAACCAGAGTAACAACTGCTCCGGGAGTTGGCCAGCCTGTGGAGGAGAGAGATTCTCAGACTACCGAGCAGCCTGCAAGCTGTGTAGAGAGCTCCAGGGCTGTAGCTTTCTGAAGTCATCACCCATATTGACATGTGCTTTTTTGGTGATATGACTGCTTTTGAGTCATCCCTGCTCTTGTTAAGTAACCCCTTATCCATACTTCTGTTAGTAATCATAATAAAAAGCTCTGTAGTTCACCAAGGTGGACATTAGTACAATCATTAGTTTGGTCTGCTTTGGGTGTGTGTGTGTGTGTGTGCGTGCACGTGTGTTGCATCTCCCCAGGAAAAGTGTCATTCAGCAGAGTATTTAGTAGTACAAATAATTTACCTCCACACTTAACATTATTTCATTGCCTCAAGGGGATCTGAGCACAAGTATTTCTTTACAGTTCTCTAGTTGTTTCAGTCTACAGTCAGGGTTAGAACCATTAGTGTATTCTAAAACATAGCATAGTAGATTAAAGGGTATCTAGGGTATTTAAGAAAGTAAGAGGACGATGGGTTTAATATATTAAAGAGAAAGAAAAAAATGAAGGTTCTAAGGTTTATATCGAGTCACCTTATCAAGCTGAGCATCGTGGTGCATTTCTTTAATCTCTGCACTCAGAAGACAGCAGATCTCTGTGAGATTGAGGCCAGCCTGGTCTACATAGCAAGTTCTTGGCCAGCTAGAACCCTGTCTCAAAACAAAAAAAGAGTGACCTTATCAGGCCCAAATCAGTTCAAGGACCTCTGAAGCCTTGAAGACCACTAAACCTTCACTGATCTCTTCTTCCTCTTTAGTTGGTTAAACCTTCACTGATCTCTTCTTCCTTTTCAGTTGGCTAGTACCTGCTTAGCAAAACACTATTTTGAATTTGATCTTGTCTTTTCCTTAAAATGTATAGACATTGGTTAACACCATTCAATTTTGCTTTATATAGAATACATTTCTTTGAGACTTTGATTTTGATTAGTCTTAAATTTTGTCTCTTGTATCTGGAAAGTAAGACCCAATTCCTTTCTGAAAACAGCACCGCACATCCTTACTACTGACCAGATATTGTAAACTCATAGGTTATCTTTCTTATGTCAATCAAATTCATGTAAGTTGTAGAGGTTATAAAGATTTAAAATAAGGCTTTGAGCATTTCACATCCAGTTCTTACTGGAATGTATAATCACCTAATATGTCACTTCACAGAACATACAGTGTTCAGTTGATTGATGACAGCAGTGCAGTGAGAGGGGATCTTTTCAGTATGCTGGGTTAGCAGATATAGAAAAGGAGTGGTTTTGTCTGCTTGAGTTTACATGGGTCTTCTGCATGCTGTCACCATTGCTGTAAGTTCATATGAACAACATCGCAGGACCTTATAAGACTACTTCCATGTGGTCATGCACCTCCTCCCCTGGCTCTTTCAATCTTATCACCCCCCTTTTCTGCAATGGTCCTTGAGTCCTGGGTTCATTGTCCTCTGTTGTATGAGGGAGCTTCGTTGAAGAGAGTTGAGAGATGCATTAGTATTCTCTCTCCCCCTTGTTCCGTTATGTTCCATGAGTCTTAGGTGTAGAGGTTCCATTGTAGATGTTATCATTTATGGTTGGGCATTTTACAGACATTTAATCTGTGTGTGACCAGTTGTCGAACTCTGTAATAGTCTCCGTCTGCTGCAAAAGAAAGGCAGCGGGCCCTAATCTTACCCAAAAAACTATTGAGCAACTGATATATACTGGATGGGAAGAGCTGATCTTTAAGGGAGTGACTCCAGATAGGCGGATTAGACCCTCGTGGATGAACTTGCACTGAAGGACAACAGGGAACATTAACTTGACTAAATAGGCCTTAACATAAATGACAGAATGCATGAATTTCAGTGTGGGGGAGGGGGCATGGGAGGGTGTCAGTGAGGAAGGGAGTATAAAGATGATTAAGATGTTGTATATGAAATACACAAAAAGTTAATAAAAATATATTATTAAAAATAAATAAAAAATATGCTCAGGAGGCAGAGCAGGTGGATCTCTGTGTGTTCAAGGCCAGCATAGTGAGTTCCAGGCCAGCTGGGGCTACAGGGAGACCCTGTCTCAAAAAGACCAAAACAAAAAGAAAAGGAGTGTATTGTCATGCTTGCCTTCTACCATGCACAAAAGTCATTTCCAGATGGATTGTAGTTCTTCATGTGAAAGGTTAAATAAAGCTTTAAGAAAAAAGATTTTGGTCAACGTAGAGTAGGCCAGAAAAAATAAAATGGTTTTAAGATTTATTTATTTTTATATTATGTGTCAGCACCCGCATGTATGTAATTGTATTGCTTGCATGCCTGGTGCCTCCAGAGGCCAGAAGAGGGTGTTGTATCCCCCAGAACTGGAGTTATAGGGGCTTGGCTGTGAGCCACCAGCTGAACTCAGGTCCTCTGCAAGAACAGCTACTCTTAACTGACAAATCATCTCTCCAGCCTGCCAAAAGATTTTTTTACATGGAAAACAATATAATCATACAAAAGGAAATTTTGATAGATCCGATTGTGTTAAAACTCAACTTTGATCAGAAGACATGATACTGGAAAAGGCAGTTAAGAATCGAAGATAGATATGCACATCCACCACTCCAGCAATGTACATAGCCAACAAAAGACATCCAGAATAGGGAAAGAAGCCTTAAAACTGGCAAGCAAATAAAACAACAAAAATTTAAAATATTTACAATAAAAGGGACCTAAATGGCCAATAGATGTGATCTATTTCAGAATTATCAGAAATGCAATTAAGACCACAATCCCATATCTACATGTCTTCCAGAATGGCAAAAATGAAAAGTGATACCAAATATTTCAGCAGGTGAGTAACTTGTGTTAAGAATAAAAACAACTTGCAATGCGGAGGTGTCCATATCTTTTTGTGTAGGACATTATTATCACATCTAAGAATTTTAAGAGTCTTCCAAGAAAATCTTAATCCTTGGGTAGTTAAGTCATTGTCTTCCAGAGTCCCTAACACTGTTACCCTTGTAGATTTTTCTCTAGCAGCTGATCATACTACCATTTTCAAGGACTCCATGACATGTTGGACACATTCACCATTTTGTGTGTTTATATGAAATGATAATGGTCATAAATACTTAGCGTTCTTAAAATAAAGTGGATAGACAAAGTTACAGTGCTAAAGTCTGCTTTGACCTCATTCTGTATAAAAATAGAGACTCTAATTGCTTTAATTTTGTTATATAGGATTACATTTAAATTACAACTTTCATATTCTAATATAAAGATTTAGTGTCAGTTTATCAATGCAAAAATAGTCACAAACTCTGGTTTGTATTCATCCCCTACTTTGTGACTGTATAAGCCATTTTGTAGTCATAATTGTAGTTTTAGCAGTTTTTGACTGACAAAAAGCCATCTTTGTCACA